GCTCGTAACAATACTTTCGAGCAATAGTGTTGTCTCAAGTAACTTATGTCTTTCCAACCTAACTTTAATTTTAATATATAGACTCCTGTATTCTACCTTTGCCAACCTTGACTTCTTCACCTTTGTCTGGATTCCCAGCCTATCTGTGCCGTTTCAAGATGTTATTGAGTAGCCTTCAAAATGGTTGTCCCCAATGCGACACCTAACACAAATGTCCTAAAACCTCGTGCCGCGTTCAAGCTGGCCATGTACAATGTTCGGACACTGATGCAAATCGGACAATAGGTTGTTAAGAACATTGAAAAGCCTCGCTATCGATGTCTGTTGCATTTAGGAGATCCGCATTCACGATCCCAGCAAAGTGCATCGATTATCCTCTCCATCTGAAAGTCCTAGTAGTATGTACCACCTGAGCTTGTCCGGGGACATTGTGGCGTCGGCATCCGCCAGAGCTGGTGTCGCACTAAGCGCTAGAGCCGAAGCTGTATTACTCGACTGGATCCACATTAACAGTGGTTTGTGTGCTGTGAGGCTGGAAGGTTACACGAAATTAAGGAGTGGTAGACCAGATAGGCGGTGTCTATTTGCAGTCACCGCCTAAACACCGACAGATTGTAGCCTGGATGCGATTAAGGATGAGTTTTGCTACCAGCTGAGCGATCTCTTGAAACAGGCGGGTCGCAGGGATATTGTTGTGCTAGCTGGGGACTTGAATGCACATGACGGGCATCTAAGCTCAGAGGAGAATCATCTAGGTGATCAATGGGGCCCACAGAACGGTAATGTGAGATGGAGTCAGCTGCTGCATCTAGCAACAGTCGGAAGCTGTTCCAGCCCATCCGAGTCACCGGCAGCAAGAAACAAGGTGTCAGCAAGATGGTCTGTGAGGCAGATGGCACGCCAACTACCAGACTGAAAGAACGCCTGGAACGCTGGGCAGAGCACATCCAGAAACTGTTTATCTGACCACCAGCTTCAGTGTCTGCTGTCACTAGCTCCAGTGCTACTTGGTCGGTCAGTACCGACCCACCCACCCACCGAAGCGGAGATCCAAGTGTAAAAACGCAGTAAGACACCCTGTCCAGACAATCTACCCGCGGCTCTTTTTAAAGATGGTGGCAAGACTCTCGCAATGGCTATAACTGGTTTATTCAGGAAGGTATGGGAGACAGAGAGCGTACCATTAATGTGGAACGAAGCCATTATCGTCCCCATCTTTAAAAAAGATCAACGTAATTCATTCGACAATCATAGGGGTATGAGTCTGCTACCAGTTGCGTCTAAAATATTGGCTGCTGTCATGCTTCGCAGGCTGTGCGAAACACGTGAATGACTGATTCGCGAAGAGCAGGTTGGGTTTCATTCAGGTCGGGTTCACACTTCGTCAGTTGTTGGAACACCGCCATACGTATTCCAGGCCCACAATCTTTGTGTTTCTTAATATTAAGGCTGCCTTCAATTCGTTGGACAGAACTGTGCTCTGGAACTGTATGTTAGGGAGGGGTGTACTTGGGAAATTTGTTAACATCTTGAAAGCCCTATACAGAAACACCTCAGGTAGAGTGAGGGTATACAACCAACTATCATCACTGTTCCCAACCAACGGTGGGGTTAGACAAGGTTACCCAATCTCTCCATTTTTCTTTAACTTTGCCACCGATGACATTCTGGAGTCAATTCCGAAGAACGTGCGTGAAAGTGGTGTAGATCTGCTCCCTGAAGAGAGACTTTTCGACCTCGAGGATACAGACGATATCATCTTACTGTGAGATAGCATGTAGGCTGCCCAAATCGCACTTAATCAGTTGGTGATCAGTGTCTGTAAGTATGGTATGTGCTTTGTGCCATCTAAGTACAAAGTACTGTTACAAGATTGGCAGGAACCTGTATCTGCACTCAATCTTGCAGGTGAACCTCTTGAAGTTGTTGATAAGTTTGTGAATCTGGGTAGTTGTGTGAGCTGGAGGAGGGGTGACGGATGAGATTCCCAACCGTATAATGAAGGCTAGGGTGGCATACGTCAACTTCAGCCACCTCTGGAGCCATCGCAACGTTAGCCAAAGGCTGTCAAAGGTCAGGTATGCAATGCTTCAGTGCGGGGTGTCTCGCTCTACGCCTGTGAAACCTGGCTTCTCGGAGCTGGGAATGTGCAGCGGCTCTGAGTATTCAATCATCGCTGTCTCCGCATGATTGCTTGCATTCAGTGGCATAACCACGTGAGTAATCCTGAGGTTCGACGACATGTGTCTGAATACAGTGGAGATCACCACTTGTTGAGGGTCGTCATCTGGAAACACCGGCTCCGGTGGATTGGACATGTTCTGCGAATGTCATCCCAGAGGCTTCCGCACAGGTCTCTGTTCGCTAGCCCAGGGACGAGATGGAAAAGGCGGGGAGATAGTCAGTCCATGATGTGGCATCGTGGGATGAAGGATATTTGTGCTAGGTTAGCATCGGTTGCTGCATCACAACTCCCTGATTGGAGTCCGAGAGATAGATCGAATCAATGGCTCGCAACGTTATCGGATATGGCCAAGAGTCGTAATCAATGGCGAATGTGCTGCGATTTCCTTCTTTCTTCCCTTTCTGATGATAGTTGACGAATACTGTTTGAACTTGTTAAGTATGACTGTTTTCCTTCCAGATGGTCACCGACCATATGTTTTTTAAATTCATTAGAAATGTCAAAAAAGGTCGAAAGCAAAATAAAAATGGTGGTAAAACTAAGAATGATAACATAAATAAGGAAGAATATAAGGCGTCTACAGCTTTAAGATATAAGGAGGGGACATATGAGGCCCTACAAAGGATTCTGAATAAAACAGGAATTAGGGTGGCATTCAAACCTACAAACTCACTCGAAGACAAGGTCTGTAGGCTAAATGATCCGGTGGACCCATTTAAGCAAAATAATATAATTTACAAAATACCTTGCAATGATTGTGAGTTAAGTCAACTACATAGGTTAAACTAGTAGATCAGGAGTAGTGAGATTATCAGAACATAAGAATTTAGCTAAGGTTAGAATGATTGATAAGTAATTTAGAAATTCATAACTGAGAAGAGTGCAGCATTGGATTGTTGTAACTTTTTTTTTACCTTTTGGGCCTAATCTTGATGTCATAATCCTGTAGGAGAACGATTTCCATCGCATGAGAGCCTTTGGAGCTGTTGGTGACATCATGACAGCCACTTCCTCAGAGTGCGAATGATTATCATCTTGGTAACCAGAGTAAATTATTGACTTATCAGTTAACGATTTGGGGGATTTACTTCCATTCCATCTGATCCTACAGATCTGTAACAATTTTATTTAATCATTTCATTTTTTCTGCAATGTGAGCAACCTTCGTGACTTCAAACACCGTGGGGCGTTCTTCACATCCCTATACTTACTTTAGCTTTCATTGAAACGAATCACTTCGGTCGACCGGCTTTCATCAGGCGGCATCATTTCATTTCCCCAATTCTAGTGAGGAATGAGTTCATTTATTTTGGTGTATCTGTGTTCTTTAAGCCGGCTAGTTTAGTTGCAACTCAACCAATTGTATAAGATGTTCGTGCTAATATCATTATAACTATTATAATAATTTTTTCACCACTTTTACCACTGCGGTTTACAACACTGATTGCTGACCCACAAATTACTCTGATAGGTTAACGATTTTATATACATACGAAGAGATACGTATTAGAGCATAGACCGAGAAGAGTTTAGTCGAAAGCAACATTTTTCGCTTATATAACCTCTTTTAACTTTACCCACATTTGATTAACTTAATCGATGTCATTAAATCGATCAAATTATTAAAGAGAAAAAAACAAGTTCAGTGGAGATATGTTTTCGGTGATTCCGTACTCAAAAGCATTGCAATCCCATTTATATGCACACGTTTACATAGATACAATTATTATTCATTTAATTCCATACACCAACGAAAGAGATTAAGTGTGATAACAATTTTCAACTTGATCAGAAAGTTTGAACGTGTGAACACAGATTATAGTTAGCTTAGAAACAAAATTACACAGGATTAGAAGTCTTTTTTGAAGAATACAGGTGTCAAAACGTTCACAATCACCAAATCAGTGTAAACACCTGTATTCTTCAAAAAAGACTTCTAATCCTGTGTAATTTTGTTTCTAAGCTTACTATAATCTGTGTTCACACGTTCAAACTTTCTGATCAAGTTGAAAATTGTTATCACACTTAATCTCTTTCGTTGGTATATGGAATTAAATGAATAATAATTGTATCTATGTAAACGTGTGCATATAAATGGGATTGCAATGCTTTTGAGTACGGAATCACCGAAAACATATCTCCACTGAACTTCTTGTTTTTTTTCTCTTTAATGTCCTGATGGGTGTTTTCCACAATTCGACTATATTATGACTCAATAAGATTTTGCATGCTTCAAAAGTTTCCAGTCTATTAGTAATAATGAAGGAAACGAAAGTGACAAGGGTAAACCTGATGTCTTTTGGGACAAAACACAACAGACGTTATGAAGACCATAATCCTTACATTTATTTTACAATTTTCAAATTATATAATGCACTGTTTATTAGATTCTTCTCTATGACACAATGCCTGAGTCTGTTATTCGGTTGCTCTTTCACTGACATGTACTACTGCTTCTCTGAAGATGTTAATCTGCACACTGCTTATACTTAGTGATAAGTAGTACATCGGTTCACTCTTCCCTAGTCGACCTGAAACAGAGTTAGGAGTGGTCGAAACCAAATATACAGCATCAGTCCACGAAGTCTTTTACTGTTGGTTTGAGTTGCGTAGGTAAGTTTAGACAGTCTCTCCCTGGGGACTTACAAACGCTAAGAATCAACAGATAGAGACAGTTAGTAATATAGCTGAAAATAGTTCTCAATGGTTTAGATGCGTTTTCGATCATGAACTATCAGAACGACTAAATACTTGATTCCCTTTAAGTAATTAATCTTTTACCCCTGTAACAACAGAAGGCAAGGGCCAGGCAACAGATCGTTTTATTACGGAAATCAACACGTATTTATATAAATTTCACATACATTATTATAGTCTAGTCAAGTATATATATATATATTAAGAGTGTCAGCTTGAACTGATGTACTTTGATATAAAAAGTTCCACGTTAAAAATTCAGTCCAGTTCAGTCGATATGCGCGACCTACTCTCCAATAGGTCGATAACTAAAACAGTAATAATAGTCATAATAATAATGTGAAGTGGTGATAGAGGACATAGTGTGCTTAAGAGGCGATGAAATACAGCTGATGAGTAAAAGCTCATAATGGCATCTGACTATACAGGGTAGAATTTGAATGGGAAACAAATTAAACGTGAAGGCCAACAAGTTACACCACCACTACGCTTTTCAGATTAGATTTCCAACACTAATTCCTATAGCTGAAGGTGAACTGCTCAGATCGACTGAACATTAAACCCATGTAAAAATTTAAAGATACAATATCATGACAGTATTCTAACTGAAGTTTAGAAAATATCAATTAAAGCAAGTAAAAAGAGTAATAACTATGACAGTGTGGGTGTTTCTTGATTAATCTGAAAAACTGGTTTTGAAATACTCATTTGAAAGAAGATATAAAAACATTATAAGTGTATATACACAACATTCGACACGTATCGCTGCTTTGAAATAAGAGTACCTCGGTTACTAATGGAATCCATGGTGCACGTTATTATCCCTTTTGGAACTAGTCAGGTTGAATGAACTTGCATTCCCAGTGAGTGATGATATTCTTACTGAGATAGGAAACCAAAGATACTCTTTCACAAACAGCAATGCATTATCCACTAGGATTCATTATTATCCCTAAATTAAAATCCCTTTTAGAGTAAAATAATGAAACAAGCAAACCTTAAATTTCATCTTTTTTAGTCGTACAATTTTAGCTTTCAGTAAGGGATTGGAACTTTATTCCAAACTCATATATTTGATGTGAGAAGACGATACCGTAATACGTTTCCTTGTAATATTAAGAAAAACTCCATATGTTGAATTCTTGTATAATTTACAATTATACTTGAAAATAAAATAACTACACGTAATATAGTTTACAAATTCCCTGAATTGTGGTGACGAAGTACTAAGAGGAAATCAGAAATTATAAAGCATTTGAGTCTATATATAACCAAAATATTCATGTGAATACAATTCATCCATCCAGTTGGACAATAAAGTGAGGAATTATCTAATACCTCATGGAGTAAAACAAACAGAACACATATATTACAATTGTGATGCTGGAATTTCACACGATTATTTCTTATTATTTAAATATGTATTGTAACGCTTTTCTTGTGCAGTATATAATTTTTGCAATTTTTTTACAGCACTTTTTGATAGTTCGTTTCCAGAGGCGTCATGTGTCGGCAAACCCTGGAAATAACAGAAAACAAAATAAGCATTGAGGATTATATATATATATATATATATATATATATATATATATATATATATATATAAGAGAGAGAGAGAGAGAGAGAGAGGCACTAATATAAAAAACGATCCTCACAATTGTTAATGCCACTACCACTACTACTATCATCACAGCAACTGAACCTTGGTAGCTCGAATGCGATTTGACATCTGCAACCCACCTGCTGATTGCTGCTCAAAATACAGATTTAAACACCACGAAGAAAGCTAACTCTTGAAGCTTCACTGTATGTATGTATGTATGTATGTATGTATGTATGTATGTATGTATGTATGTATGTATGTATGTATGTATGTATGTATGTATGTATGTATGTATGTATGTATGTATGTATGTATGTATGTATGTATGTATGTATGTATGTATGTATGTATGTATGTATGTATGTATGTATGTATGTATGTATGTATGTATGTATGTATGTATGTATGTATGTAGTCGACAGGCGATTGTAATTCCATGCAGCTGGCAATGAGCCACCCCTAGTGTGTGAGGGCTAATGATACTACCTGGTTGCCTAAACCCCGGTAAGTGAAGAGGATTTCAAACTTGTGAACTACTGGTTGGAGGCTGAGTGTCTGGACCTAGGAGCCACAGCTCCACAAACTTCCCTATTCACAAAGATATTATTAAAGATACGTAATTTCTTCCTGATATTATCTTTCACGAAATGTTTACTGTTGCACTGAACCATTACCTACCACTTACGCAGAAACACATTTATTTTGCTAAACTTGGTCATGGGTGCTACAAGTTAGCAGTTTGTCGAAATTTTTCTTACAATACAAAACTATTTTCTGGGCACCAATGAATTACCTTCGAATCGAATTTAGAGTACTTATCTACCTCCGACAGGAACATTTCCCATGGGGGTATGCATGTAACTTCATTTTTTGCAACAGCTTTAGTGGATTTTGTTTCATTTCGCTACATCAAAAAAGAAGAAAAGAAAAGAGAATTTTTTATCAAAATGTTCAACAAGACCAAATTAATCACGCTATTACCACTCACATCACATCGAACTGTGTAAACTGAAAATTGTGAATGTTTTATGGTATTACTAGTTCACCCAAGTATCTAGCCAGGAATCGGGTGCTTTGAATTAATTCGTCTCTCTGAGCTCAGTCAAACTGGTTACACCGCTGATCAGCTCGACTCCAAAATAAGAGAAACGGCCGTTCAGAGTTTACATTACTTCAATCTAGCTGCCAGCGAACACTACTGGTTAATTTGAGTAGTGTACGACTATTCAACTCAATCAACCAGTAGTGTATAGCGTCATGTATTTAAGCTCGCTTTCTTGATTAACATTCACTGAATCAAGTAGATCAGACATTGTGATCTGAATAATTTCGGTTTCCAAAGAAAAGTGGGATGAAGTTTCACTTCACTCTTCTTAAGACTCTTGAAGAGTCCCAAACTAGGACGAATCAGCTGTCCAGTACTCCCAGGTTTTCCAGTGGTTCTCTAACTGATGTCAGCTCATGGTGAAATCCTGCATGCAATCAAACAAAATCCTTACAAAACCAATACTTGAAGATGAAAAATTAACTACTTTAATTGCACAACTTATCTTAAGTTCGAAAAAAGGAAAGGTATTTTCAACAAAATCTACCTGAAATAAAGCAAAAATATAGTGACTAACATTCGATTGATGTATAGAACGATACTTCACACTCCCAAGGCAGATAGTAATATATGTATGATATCCTGCAAATCACTGACACAGAAAAGTGGGAAATTTTATTCAGTTCGCCTACCACATAATCTAGACACTAAGTTAAATTTGTAAATTATGTATTTATCAAAGTAGGATACCACAGAAACAAGATTTTTCTTAATCAACGACCTTAAATACAAATGTACATTTTACCGATAAAGAATTAATGGCGTCATTTATTTAAGAATTCAGAGATTTGAAGAAACATGTACTTGAATTTTCTGATCATTACTAAGATATAATTAACTATCTGTAAAAACTATCCAAAAGAAACTGCCCTGTGTCTTCTTGTATGTGGAATACTTGTTTGAACTGATTTCCTAGGGCACATCTTTCATGTTCCCGGCTATGAAGGCTGATGATGCTACGCAGTTACTCAAGCTGAAGTAGGCGTAGGTGGATTCGAAACCAGGACACGTTAACTAGAAGTCGAATGCTTAAGTCAATAGTCTGTCTCTGTCTGTCTGGATTCAACATAGAACTTGGCACTGAAGTGCAGCAGTTCGAGTTGCCACGTTCCAAATAGCACACAGAGGTAGACAAGAAGATGAGTGAAGAGAATCAATAGAGTTTGACAAGTATAAGAGTGAAACAGAATGGGTAATGGTAGAAAGGAATATGAAAGATTACAGAGACTGAATACATCTGCGCCATTGACAATAGGCCAAGTCTCCACTATTAACTGATCTGAAAACTCACTAATTTTTTTTTCTATCATCAGAGGAAACATGACAGACTATACTATTTTTTAGTAGAATAGCTTGTGGCGCAAACAGCTAACCATTGGCTCCAACCAAACAGCGGAACGAAGCAAAAAACGGCATAACAACAACGATACACAAACAGCAATTGCAGCCAAATTTTTATAACCAATCGAATTGCATATAATAATAATAATAATAATAATAAAGAAAAGTGGGTTTTCACCTTGGTTTTATTTTCAAAACGTTCACTTAGCAAAATACTTTTATCCACTAAACCAATGAACGGTGGCACATTTATACCTTTGCTAAGATCAGATGCAGTAGCACGATCTTGAAGTCGAATACCAGCATCAACAAAATCAACATCGCGAAATCGATCACTTGCTTCATACAACCGCTTTTTGCACGCAGAATCTGTAATACAACCTGAGGAGAGTAATCCTTTAACTGTATTGCGTACAGAAGCAAGTGTATGAAGAAAGTTAAGAACAACTGGCCATACATTTACTTCTAATCCATGCGGTACAGTGGTTAACTCAGAAAGGCTTTTTCGAGTGGTAGTTGTTAAAATGCATTCCAAAGTCTCTGCAAAAAAAAACAAAATTTTATCAATATTCGTTGAATATAAGAGGCGCTTAACAATGTATGAAGGTAAAATTAATAAAAGCATAAAAAATAAGCTTGGAATTAAAGCAAATTGGCTGCCTTCGAGTTCATAGTGTTCAAGAAAGTCGTAAACCCAGATGGAGGCTCACCACTGTATTTCGGTGGGTTGAAAATCACGAAGAATCCTAATCGGGTGTGTAGCTTTTGTCAGTGAGAAGGCCTCGCCGTCCTCAATTTAACTACGCTGAGAATTCTGCATTGTGTTTAAACGTAATTTTGAGGGCAAAGCTAATATTATTATGAGTATCATCATATAGATGTTGATAGGTATCACCGGAAGTATGAAAACATAATGACAACAATGTCAAAGGTTCTGCTATTTTTGGGAAACGCCGATGACAGGAATACAGATCAGAATTTATGTGAAATGCACCGAAGTATAGAAGTACAGCTGGAATAATACACAATACGAAAATTAAAGTGATGAACAGCTTGTGATTCGTTATTCGCATTCTGAGTGGAACATACGGCTGCAGCAGCATACAACTCTTTATTCTAGTTTGTTTACAGCAGTCTTTTTCTAATCTGCTTCACGACTGCCCGCGGATTCTCGCATTACATCAGTCAATAGATAAGTGTAATATAATGCATCATCAACTCAGATCGAAGATTAGCTAGATATGTGACATACAATACAGGTCATTTCAACACTTCCGAAACGCGTTCTAACCTTTTCAAGTTTCACTATGTGAACGATTGACTTCCCTTCCTTACCTAGCACTCTACACCTAACCTCAGTATTACTCAGACTATAATACCAGCACTAGACATAGCAGGTAGGAAGCAAACACCAATGGTCAAAGATAGTCATTTTACATCTTCCACTTTTAAAGGCTAACCTCGCCTAGTTAACTAGCTTGGTGGTTTTCTAGCCAGTCCTAAGACCGGGTAAAGAGGGAGGGTGGGGTGTGGGGCTAGCAATTCCACACCACTAAACTTATCAAACTGCCAAGGAAACTTCAACGCACAGGAAACATATTAAAAATACAAAAAATTTCAAAGAACAACAATTTTATTCTTCGCTCGAATCGGAGAAGCCAAATAACGAGGGCTGGCGAAAGCCTTCGGAAAGCGATTCAGACAGCCTATATCTTTTCTTGATGAAAGCTGTCAACTGGATACTCAGTAATCTACTCCGGTCTGGTCATCCAGATGATAACCAAGAAAAACTGAGGGGGTGGTTACTATGATATCACCAGTGGCAGACAGAGCCTTAATGCAGCGGGGACCCACTTCATCTAGGATCATGACATAAAGATTCAACTCAAAAAGAAGGAAGGTCACAATTATCCAATGCTAAGCATCTACGAAAAACGCGGAACCAGAAAAGGAGGATTTTTACAGAAAACTACAAATTGCAATGGACACCATTCCAAATGGTGACATCGAAATCCTCATGGGTGATATGAATGCAAGCTAAACTGGGAGCAGATGTATGTCTGTCTGTTTTCGACATAGAACTTTGCACATATGTGCGGAAGTTCAAGTTGCCACACTCCGTGTAGCACGCGAAGCAAGAGAAGAAAGTACAAGAAAAGAATAATAGAAACAGTGAGCAGAGGGGTGAGACAAAGGAGTAATAAAGAAAAACAAAACAGTTTCATTGGAGATCATAAATCACAAGGAGTGGATGCATCTGCACTAGCCATTGAGAACGATTTTGAGCCATGTCACAAATTGTTTCCAACCATAGATTTTTACCGTCCCGAGGACCCCAACCAGTCAGGAAGTCTACACCTTCCTACGTGGCTTAGACCAACTGTTGTGGATTCCATTGACTGGTGCCAAGTTTTTGTTTGACCGCCGCTAGCTTTTTTCCAGCCTGACCCTATATCCGCTAACATTGCTCGTCGAGGGAGGCGATGGCTTGGCATACGTAATACATGTCCTAACCATATCAGTCTTTGTAACTTCACGACTTCGTCGATTGATTTCCCCTGTTTACCTAGAACTCTACGCCTAACCTCAATGTTGCTCACCTTATTATGCCACTTTACACGGGAAATAGAGCGCAGGCACCTATGATCAAAGACAGCTAGTCTTTTCATGTCTTCCACTCTCAGTGGCCAGGTCTCACAGATAATACAGCAGATAATACAGGAAGAGAACTCATCATGGATCGAGAGGCTCTCGGAGAAATGAATGACAGTGGAGAACTCTTTTCAGACTTCTGCGCCTTCAGCGTGTACAAGAACAAGGATTTACACAAAGTAACATGGATTTTGCCCAATGGACACATCACAAACTAGATAGATTTCATCTCAATCTCAAGGAAGTGGAGGCGCAGCCTGCTGGATACAAAGTCGAGAAGGGAAGCAGATGTGAGCTCAGACCATCGTCTGGTTCAAGGAACCTCCAAGGTGGAGCTAAAATCCCTCAAAACAACTGGAGACAGACCACAATTCAAGCTCAACATTCAGAAACTGAAGGACAAAACTACAAGGGATTCCTTCACTACAGATCAGATCAGAGCAGTCGGAGAGACTACGTGACATCACTGATGAAACCTGTGTGGAAGAACATTGGAACTCTCTGAAGGTGATGTTCAGGGAAACGTGTCCTAGGAAGAAACAAGAGACAAGGGAATGAATGGCTCTCAACGGACACCTACATGGAAGCTAATAGAAGAGAAGAGGATGGTGAAAGAGAAAATGACTCAATGCAAAAGGTGGGCAACAAAAGAAGAAGCTGAGTTCAATGTACACTGCACTAAATTAAGAAGACTGCTGAGAGAGACAAAAGACAATTCTACAACACACTAGTAGGCAACTGAAGCAGAACAGGCAGGCTGCAGGTAAAACAGACCTCAGGAAATTATATCAGATAACCAGGTCTCTATCCGGGAAGAGATCAACCCAGATGATGAAACCAATAAAAGATGTTCAAGGGAACCTGATCACCAAGGAGGAGGAACGAATAAAACAATGGGCTGATCACGTTAAAGGACTCTTAATTTGACCATCACCTGCAACTACCCCAGAACTGTTAGTGGAGACCAATCCTCCGACGATAGCAGAAATCCTGAATGTGATCAAGTCACTGAAGTCCGTGAAGGTTGAGGAGACAGACGGAATTACCTCCGAAGCACTGAAAACGGACCCAGAGACTGCGGAAGATGTTCTGACGCCATTACTGCAAAAGGCTTTGAAAGAAGAAAAGGTGCCTACCGATTGGAAGAAAGACTGGCTACCTTGTCAAACTACCAGAGAAGGGTAACTCACACTGCAAGAACTGGAGTGCATCAATGCCCTTGTCCATGTCAAGTAAAATATTAAGTCACGTCATCCTGGAGAGAATAAAAGATGCACCGGATGCAAAACTCCACTAGCCCAGAACAAGCTGGATTCAGGAAAGGAAAATTATGTCCTGGTCAAGTTGCATCTCTACGCATCATCACAGAACAAAGCGTACAATGGCAGTCAAACTCCTACCTCAACTTCATCGACTTCGAAAAGACCTTTGACAGTGTTGACCACGACGTAATCGGGAAACTTCTACAACACCACGATGCATCTCAAGTCATTATCAACCTCATTCAACAGTTGGCTATATGACAATGCCACGTCCCATGTGATCCACAATGGAAAACTCAGAGGTGTTCAAAGTGAACACAATATTAGGACAAGCTGGCCGCCTATTGCTGTCGTCATTGGCTGGCTCCATACGGAAGATCAAAAGGCCAGAAAGAATAAGTAACAAGAATCTCTGGTTGGGAACAAACATACCAAGAACCGATTGCTCAACAAATATGTAGGAGAAAGTGCAGATGGATCAGGCATACATTGAGAAAACCGTCGAATGACATCGCGCGCAATGCGGGTCATCGCTCGAGTGGGATGCCAATGTGAAGCAACAAGTTGGGCGTGTGTTCAAGGGTGAAATGGACGAGGTCATGAGTGATAATGGGCAATCGTGGACCCAGCTGAAGAGGGTAGTAGAAAATAGAACGAAGTGGAGATGTATAGTTGAAGCCCTATGTTCCATTCGGAACGCAAGGGAATAATAATAATAATAACTTTCAAAGGCTATGTCTCACAGTCATAAAGAAAGACAGAACGACCTGCTGCGCAGTACACAGGTTTTTTGATCGGTAAACGGGCATCATGTGTACGTCTGAGATGATGTAAGTTAACAAATGACACACGAGTCTTTTGTATCAGTGCTGACGTTTCATCAGCAATCAGACCATTAGGACTACTCGTACTTCCCAAATAAGTGGTTAACACGCCCAACCACTTCATTCCCTATCTTTGAACTAGGATTCGGTACTTTATCGTCTTACGTTTGACATGGGAGAATCGTCTATGGAGTAACTCTGATAGTTTACTTTCTCAATGACGGGATGTATTAAAATGAGGGAATCATTTAAAACTGTTACGAGTTTTCTTCATAATGAATATAGTTGATTCAGTTCCCTCATTTAAAGGAATTTCGAAGAATAAGAGTTTTTCCTATGGTAGAATGGAGAGTAAGAAGAGAATTTTATCTACTAATCAGCTTGACAATTACCACTATTCTATGAAATACATAACAATCAGAATAACATCTTACTTCTTTCATCGAGCTCAGAATCAAAAAGTTGAATACCGTACTTTGTTTTTAATTCAGTTGTATACTGATTTACAGTTTCCTTGAATCCATCACCTAAGAAAATTTTCAAACAAAAACAAACAGAAAAAACACATTTCTGTGAATATTCATGCAATCGATTGTTTCCTTATCACTTTAAATGGTAAGATAATTCTACGGATATGAATACGGATACATACAAGAATCGTCACACACTGACCTATAAACCATATTTCAAAAGCTTAACACTTATCACTAATAAACTAAGCTGAGAGTGGAACGACTAGCGAACCTGCAATCTTACTATTTACGTGTTTTCCTCACAAGATCTATGAACAGTAGTCAGCTTGGAAAGAGAGGAGACATCATTTATGTTTATGAATAGTAAGTGAAAACTGATTCATTGAATACCTTGAAGAAACAGATAAATTTGGACGGAGATCAAACCTATTCGTTCGTTCTATGTAAATAATGATTTAATGCGCTCCTAAAGCATATATATATATATATATATATATATATATATATACATATATACAAGAGTCGTATATTACAGTGGAACATTCATGAAGTTTTTTGGAAATTTATTGGAAAATAGTGTGAAACTAACCTTCACGAATAACAGCATTAATAAATGTGGAGCTAGCTTTCAACGATTTGTGAACGGTAAACATGAGACTTTCTATATCTAAAGCATTGAGAGATAGCCAACTTTGTGAACCAAATTCACTTCCAATAGTTTCCGTTAATGAAACATGTGTATAGTCTTCCAATACCTTACCACCGGCTATGATTCCTTCGGGTGGGACAGGAGAACCCGTCGATGCAGCAGTTACATCAGCAATCCCCAAAATACGTAGTATTTGAAGAATAAAACGACTGGTTGCGAAAGTATCATCTGCTAGTTTAGATATACACTTATTTGGTTCCAGTTGGCTAAGTATTATCGAATCAGCTTCAGACATTAAATTCCTCAATAAATCCAGTACAGTACGAGTATCACAGGAATCTAGTGGTGTTGAACGAGAGAAATAAGTTTGGTAATAGAAAAAGAAAACTAAAACTATGACCAAACCTGTTCAGAATGATCATTTTGCATGAAGAACAGACAGTGAAGTAAACTTAGAAATAAGTAACAGTTTATGAAAACTCGCACCATATCAGCGAAGCGATCATAGTCCTTGAGAGAATGAAGACAACACATTCATAAGGAAGTATTAGTGAGCAGTTATAAATCAGAGAATGGAAATAATGAATAAACGATATCAATCCAAATGGAAAGCAAAATTCGTGTTTTATTCAACTTAATAGTTAACCGGTAGAATGGTCAGGAATCCTGCTCATTTTAAACAGAAATAACCCTATAGATTCAGTGAAGCTGTGTGACTAAATTGATATGATTATGAGCAATAATTCATGTTCGACACACTTCTAAACTTCACCTAGCTGGTACTAAATACCAACAGAGAAAATGTCGTAAGTGAGGCTGACAACCTCACTCGGTAAAAACAACACAGATACTGTTGGAACTTCACTGCTGACGGCTTGAAGCTGTATGTTCCACTCGGAAAGCAAAAGAATGAAAAAATGTATGGACTCAATATTATTAGCTTGAGTTCCAATAGCACTGGTCTACTAGAAGCTTGACTTTTAGCAACTAGATGACAGACAGATTTGACCCCCATACCGCCAACTGTGATTTGGACAACCGGGTAGTACTGTCATTAGATTTGAAAAAACAGATACAGCTCACTGACGAATGCATGGAAATACAAGTGGTTTTCATTTTTTATGTTCTAATAGCACAGAAATAAACCTTTTCAATCAATGAATGTTGTCCTTCAAAATCCATTAGACTTATTGTTGTGTTACACGACGTATTCCTACACTTATCCGAAGTAACCTTAACAACTCAACAAAAACGTAAAATTCTGCGAAATGGATTTCTTCTGAACAATAATATTTGTTGAAGCTCAGCTGCCTGGAACAGATTTGTCATGTACGAAGACAAGAGCCACATTTATCTTACGAGGGCTGGCAATACTACTCAGTTGCTCAGGTGGAAGTAAGTAAAGCAGGAATCGGCTGAAGACCGACTGCTTGAGCCATTGGGCCATATATCTCCACTTTGAACAATATTACAAGACCAACAGAACAAATAGAAATTTAAAAGAAAGACTTTTAGAATTTGGAATCCCATTTGGAATACAGTATATAATTTTGAAACTGAATTTCACCTACCACATAACGCATCATACACCTTCTGCTGAATATCTGTCAAGATTTGTCTGAGCTTATCATCTTTACTTTCTGCAAAAGTAAATTTATTCGTCAGCATAGACTGTTTTGCTGCAAATTGTAGATTTGAGCAGGTGTATAGGAAGTCCTAAAAACATGCAAAATCCTACATGAAAATTCATATAGCTCTACATACAAATGATTTATGAAAAAGAATCAGAAATACTAAATTCACACTTTAAAGCTAAACAGAAAACAACACAGTGATATACATTACACTAGTGGACGAAAGTTTTATGGCTTTCCGAGTTATTTATCACGAATTCGATATGCCAGTTTAACTAAGACGGACACATAATTTCCTCCGGCCTTCCAACAAGAAAAGCACAGAGTTGAACCCAATGACTTATTTAAAAAAATATTACTGTTGAACACTGTTTTTTGTTTTTGCAGCAATTATCAATACGCATGTACCGCATTTGGTATTGGTCAAAAAGAAAATTTCCTACGCTGAAATGTAATTTGTTAGGTTTCTGCACAAATACCACTGTATTACATCAAATGAACTTATGTAACTCCGATCATGCACGTGGTCCGGGGTTCGATTCTTGTACAATCCAATTCTAAACCTCGATTGAACGGCAGTAAGACGAGTAAAGACTGTAGGTTGGGTGTGAAGCAACCCCACTCCGTAAAAACCGCTACTGAAACTTCAAAGCTCCATCTTGAAGACCTGTGTTCTACCCGGAACGTAGAGAAATAAAAGTGTTTGGACACCATAAAATAGTGGGAGCCGTTCATTCAATATACACTTCTGGATTGTAACTTGTGTGATATTAGAGTGTTCTGATTGGATTTCATTGAAGCTGGTACTGTTTTTAGGTGTATATTTAACTGCTATATCGTAACAATATGGTTTACTGCGAGTAATTCCTTTACTGACTACTCACCAACTGTTATACTTCTTTGGAGTTATTGAGTTTGTCTGTGTAAATGCAACGAAAATGAATTCAAAATGAACCATTGAAGCTTCAAGAAGGATGGATATTTGTACACCATAGAAAATGCATCGGTTTCGTTATAACATTTAAAAATTACTTACAAGATTTGCCATTAAGTCATATAAAACAGTAATAGAATGCAAGAATATATTACTTACAACTAACTGTTTTTCGTATGCGATAGCTTCAGCTAAAGTGTCATCGCTATAGTCCATTGTATCACGCCATGAATGCAGAAGAAATATTAGCCGGATTTGCCGAGCTGTGTGAGTTTTAAGTGCATCACGAATTGTAATGAAATTTTTCAGTGATTTTGACATTTTACAGCCAGAAATTGTTAAATGACCAGAATGTAGAAAATAGTTAACCCAATGTGAATGACCAAAATATGCCTGGAAACAAAAGTTGGAAAAATAATCATAATGGTAGAAAAAGTAGTACTGATATTGGCACTACATATGCTACAATAACAGCTGGTGGTGAAAGGCAAATTAGCAGTCTGTTGTGCAACTTAATAATTAAATGAAGGATATCTACAGTAAATAACTAGTAATACATCAGCTAAAAGTGAACATTGAATGACGTACTTCGTTTTAAAAGTTCATAGTGAAAATTAAAAAAACATGCATAGAAATCAACACTGGACAGCTGATGCATTAGTGGTAGTATCTGTCTACCTGTAGCTATTGTCACACTGAAACAAAGCCGTTAAAGCTTCAGTTCACGACTCCTAGCACAACGAGCATTACTTCCTAAAAGAATGATGTTATTCAAGTGTGCGACCAAAAGATAATTTACTTTGTTCTTAACGGTTGAACAACAACAGCGAGTGTAAGCACTTCAGCTCCTACAGCACTGAAATAAGTATGTAATGGCGACGTAGAACTGCTACCTGATAAAAAACTATTCAACCTTGAGTATATATATATATATATATATATATATATATATATCGTCTTATTGCATGGTGATACATAAGTTACTTATATCGCCACTGGTCAGTTGGTAGTTAACATATGTAAGAATGTACGTGCTTTGTACTAAGTCTAAAGTACTGTTGCAAAGGTGAAAACACTCTATGCCCCCATTCGTTCCCGCAGCTCCTTCGTTAGAGGCATTCAGAGAGTTCATACGCTTCGGTAAGCGCGGATAATATAACAAATGAAATTTCCTATCGTATAACAAAAGCCGGAGTAGTACACTCAAATCTGTCTCGCATTTGATATTGTCATAGTGTAAGTCTGGCAGTCAAAGCTCATTTTTAAAACAACTCAATGTGTCTTGTTCTACTTTAATGAAATCTGTCCGATTCGAACTTAGGGTTTGCTGCACTCTGTGAATACATAAACGCTGAGTAAGATTACGCGCAGCCGGTGGCGTCATCATGAGGTCCGATAATGCGGCTTTAAACAAGGTACCGATTCTTTTTCAGTGACTGACACCAGACTTGATGTTACTAACTTTACTCTAGTAGCTTTCATACTATTCAGTTTCAAAGCTACACTTAATGAGTGGGTGCTGGTTGGTGATGCTTTGCACCTGCCCAGAGTGGAAAGGATTCGTGCCCGGTACTCACTGGTTGGAAGTCTGGTGGCTCTGAGGCTAGTTGGACAAAACAGATGCAATCAGCCTATGACTTTGCACCGTGAGATGTAAGGTGGTTGTGTTAATTTGGAATCTGTTAATGCATCATGACTACCTGGGTGAAATTTAAGAGAACATGCAACTCGATATATCAGATGCAGGTTAGAAATAGAATAAATGAAGAATATGTAGCAATTTCGTCGTTTATACTACCACTGAAACCAACACAAAGTAGTGGGCACTCCTTTGAATGTAGTTTATAAACATAATGATGTACTTCAGTCGATTCTTATCCAACTATTTTATTTATCACTTTGTTGTATCGCCCTTTTATTATCTTGTGGGTAAACAAATCCAAATACACAAATTTATAATTCTTTTCAATTAGGTGAACACTTAGTTTTTCCAATCACTGTAAGATAATAGTAATGATAAAAATTGCGACGGATTTTCACCAACGATTTCTTCAAGCATTTATTTATCAGTGTAATGTAAAAGTGGACAAAATTTTGATTTTCCACAAGGATGCAGTTAGCGTAATGCCCAGCAAACAACAGATAAGTAAGGAGAGGTTTTTCATACAGTAAAGCTGTACCAACACAGCCACTTAAAACACGTATATGCTACGAAGCGACTTTAATGGATTATACAATTGTCGCTTATTTTTTGCCGTAATGAAGCTTCGTAATTTTTCTAGCAAAAGCATTTGAATTAGGCATGGAAATTTGCATTTCACTTGATTCATGGGAACAATATTCTATAGTTTTGAAACATGTATTAGGGACATCGTCAAAAGATATAGTTTATCGTAATACAGAAAAGTAATGATCTCGAAAATGTCAATACTAATAATAATAACAACTCTACAATTCATACGTACTTCAGACTGAGCCAGTTCATTATCATGATGTGGGAACTTCAAGTCAACTCCGCCACTATGTATATCGAGAGTATCACCTAAAATATCACTAGCCATGACTGAACATTCTATGTGCCAACCAGGTCTTCCTTTTCCCCAAGGACTTGGCCAAGCTGGTTCACCGGGTTTTGAAGCCTTCCAAAGCGCAAAATCAGTTGGCGACTTTTTTTCACCTGTTATGCTTAGTTCACCTTCTCCAGATGCAAGCTGATCAGAGTCACCAAAAGCAGTTGGTACAAGCTTGGCATAAAAATGCTCAGGAGAGCTTGCGAACCGGTTCGTGTCGAAATACACAGAACCAGATTTGGCGACATAACTAAAGAAAACAAATCAATGTGGAAAAACAGGATATTATTATAAAGCAGAAAATTCAGTGCTACATGACAAATGTGTCTCGTGATGGATTACTTCATTATTTAAAACTAGCAAAATTAGTAGAATGTGTGGTTCCATCAAGGTTAATAAACCAGGAATCATAAGTGACTTTATGAAAAACCTGATCTACTAATTATTTAAATGTCTCATTTAAAACTGGGGATTACATGTTCGTACGAACTCCACTATAAAATGAAGCGAATCGACAGCCTGGATATCTAAAACAACGGGGTATATGAAGAGATTGACAAATCAAACTTTGTTAACTGAATACATATAAAAGTGATCACTTTGATTGGACACCAGTTAGTAACTAGTATTGTGTATCTTGTCCTTTGTTTGGTGCAGACTAAATTCTGTCAGTCAAGTTTGCAATGTGGCCACCATTCTAGGCGGTTTGCCATCACAGTAGAGCGTGTGTTGTTGATATTAGATGGTTCGAATCAATCGACAGGAAGTCTTGGACCTATGTTTCGAGCTAGTTCATGTAATTTGGACAAATTTTTAACAAACGAAGGAGGATGAGAATTGCGAAAGACGAACTGCAAAGTTGTGAACTTATATTTAATATGTTCGGAAACATCAATTTGTGATATATGGTGATATAATGTACGAAATAGTATTGGGTTATAAACTACTAGCTACATACAGTATTAATAAGTTCAATACTGGACTAGAAATAATCCCAAGACTCCTTTCTTCAGCTAACTACAAAATCTTTGCAAAGCGCTATATGTTAAACAGATAACTAAAATTACCCCCGGTTAGTGTGACATAAGTGGGTTTGGAATACTGTCCGGCTCTTCACTCATTACCAGCTGTTTTAGAGATGAATGCATACTCAAGTCTGTACCAGACCCAAAATTACGTTGCGATTTGCTAACCAACTCACTTATTGACATATCTAGTCAAAAATGCAAACATTGCCATGATGATAATAAAAAACTCACGCGTAACCATTTTCGATAATTTTTTCAACGTATTTTATAATCGGACCAATATACTCCGTGACTCGAACGAGCACGGACGGGGGAATGACCTAGTGCAAAATAAAAACCAGAGGAAATAAGTGTAGCATGTTTTTCTGAAGAAAGATCTTTTACGCTATTCTAATGTCTCTATAAGTACACGAGTAAAAATGTTGGATACTGACGTCCTAACAGTCTTTTTGACATTATAATAAAGGATAAAATGATTCCTACCTTACTTATTTCTAAATGAAGTGGAAAACTTTTGCGAGAATCGACTTTGTAGACGATCTCAAACTGCATTGGTCAAAAAATATCCTGAGAATTTTTATTCAAAACTTAAGATGACAAAATACTATCACGTCATATTAACATTTAGTCTCAATTAACAAGACGTCTGCTTGAAATTTAGCAAATATTAATGCCTGAATCTACAAAGTATTAGTATTGTGCGTCGGTGGCACGGCGGTTAGGACTCTCGCTGATCATGCATATAGTCTGGGGTCCGATCTCCTGCCGACGCACACCTGATATCAATTAGTCAGTCTGCAAAATTTGGGTTACCAATATCACATGCTGAAAATTCCATACTTGTACTAAAAATGGGGTGTGGAATCAAGATATAACAAAAAAACGCCCTATTCTGTGACATTACACACACAGGACTGAAATAGTCTCGGCAGACTACTCATAGACCGAAACCATGAAAACTGGTTCCATAGAATTATACATAAAGAATTACTCTACAACCGACTGATACAAGTTGTAGTTGTTCGCAGTCAACTTGTAGATTTCCATCAGTTCAATATCCAAAGAACCCAAGGTCTTTCTGACCTAGTCAATTAAGATGCCAGTTAATTACGCGAAATAGTTGTCTTCCTAAAGTTGCGCAGTCAACATTTTTAAGTAATTGACTGCAATCATGACGTGTTATTGTAGCTGTTCATCCTCAGTAAGTTCATATCTGATGAGTTGCCAAAAACAAACTAGATTTTAACAATAAAAAAATACCCATTTGGTGCAGATCTTGCCTATACGACTAAGAGTGATCACATCCAAACTACTTACATTTACAATGACGGTAAGAAACATGCTGACAAACATAAAAATACGATTATAAAAAGGCAAGAATTTGACACATTACTTGATGAAACAGTTATGCTCATACAAACTTACATTCAAAGCCGCCATATCTGCAAGATATTCTTTCTCAAAATGCTTAGACAGTACTTCGAATATTTTATGGTCATTCACAGAATGACCAAACTCCGCATCTAAAGTATCTGCGATAGCATCACGAGCATGCCTGATCAAATGAATAACTGGGTCCTCTTTATCAGATGATTCAGTAGACAAAAGAGATATCAGACGGTCAACTTCGTTATTTAGATATGCTTTTTTATCTGGATCTGTTTCAGTTAGTAACTTCGATTTAATTCTCTGTAAAATCAATTGTGAAGAAATAGATATCTAGAATTAGTCCCGTGCTGAGTAAACTTGATGCTCCCCATTTTTAAAATGATTGGTGCTTGAATAACTATAAAACATTAGATATTCATTAGTCATAAGATTAATGGTAAAGTGCTGAGCAAGGAAAACTGGTGAGCAGCATCGGTACAACCTTTTATTGCGGATCTATCACATTTCCTGACCCCTTTAGTACCAAAACCAGAGGAATTATGGACTAGAAATTATTTAAATTTTATTATACAACAGAAACAAGCTATAGAATCACGTTCATCTCTGTCATGTGACCGTTATTTGAATAACTCAGTCGGTTAACATTAGTGTTAAGTAACGACTCAATGGAAACTATGAAGTGAAACAAGGTAGGAAGACTACATCTCAGAACCTAAAAAGGTTTTATGGAAAACATTAATTATAGCACACCACAAACGTTCAAAACCACTGCTGAACTTATGTTTTTGGTTGAGTCAGAAGAACCTTCCCATCACTAATTTCTGTAGAGTAACATCACACAATTTTTTCCAGCGCCTAAACTGAAGAAGTTTCAACGTAAGTCCTAGAAAATATTACATTTGAATAAAATCGAGCGTAGACGGTCTAACTTCATTACTCCGAACTGACGTATCATCTAGGTACCTGTAACTTAATTGGTTAGGCACTTTATTCTTAACCAATGTAACATATATGGACTGTTACTTATCCAGATTGCCAGAAAGATAAGACACATGCAGCAGAAAAACACATCACAAACGTACTGAGAAATCTTCTAAAGAAGAAATTGGTTGAAAACAGTACTTATAATGATTTAAAAACCCTAGAGTCTCGTTTGCCGCACATGTATGGTCTTCCATAGACACTCAAAAAACAAGTTCCCCTGAGACCTATACTTTCGATGATCAACTAGCCTTAGCATACATTTGCTCGTTGGCTTGCAGAGAATTTGGAACCCATTCGTCAACGGCTAGCTTTGTAAAACATGAACGACTCATTTCATTTAGCCGTAAGTGTGAACCACATGAGTTTCAAATAAGTCCATGGTTTTATTTGATGCAACCTGCTTGTTCACAAGGATCCCAATCAATGGGACCATCGAGTTCATTTGTCAAAAGTCTGATCTCCTACTCCCAGAGTCGGAATTCAAACGCTTACAGATAATATGTACTATGGATGCACAATTCCAATTTGACAACACTCTACTGCCAAATAGATAGTGTAGCTATGACTAGTCCAATTAGCCCTGTTTTAGCAGATGCGTTCATGTCAAATCTAGAAAGAACAAAGTTGAAGCATGCAATCGACGAAAGAACTTCTTACTTTCAATATGACGATGACACGTTTGTAGTGTGCAACAATGAAAGTCATGCTTCCTACCTACTCAAATTATTCAACGACGTACATACAAATATTGAATTTACAATGGAACATGAAAATGATGGAAAGTCCCATTTTCTTGATATTGCTATACAGCGGCTAGAAGACAGTAGTCTCCAGAGGTTGATTCACCGAAAGGTTAAATGGAATGGGCAATACTCATACTTTAATACTTTTTATCTACATAGCTTTAAACGAGCATTAATCAAGACTATGTCCTACATAGCCAGGAAAATTTGCTCTGCAGATAAATTTGAGGAAGAATTTCTGATTCTCGAGAAGCTGCTGAAAAGCAACGGTTACCCTATGAAATTCATTGACGAATATGGATGATGTCAAGGCTCAAACATCATACAAATCAGTGGGGAAAAAACGCATATTCATTCAACTTGATCTAAAATGTGATTATATTACTTACTTTACTTCGGCTATCTCCTACAGGAGGATGAGCCGGCTTCATGAACGTCTCGAATCATCGCTGCCCAGGCGCGGCAATTTGTAAGAGAGTTCATGAAGTTTCATGGGAATTTGGTACGAGTGATGTCCCCAGCATCGCTCGGCCTTTTGTTTGAGAGTGCAGCTCTAGCCTTTACACAGCCAAGTGTGACCTACAAGGCAGTAGGAGTGGAGTAAGGAGTCCACTATCCATTGACAGCCGGTGACCGGAGTTCGGTTCATACGCCTTTTTGAATGGGGCCAGACATCCAGGACATCCAACAAGCCCTTTGTCCATACGTCTGCCGGTGAGCTCCAGTGAGCTTCATACGCCAGTCGTTGGAGGTTTGGAATCAGGGTTTAGCCATCTCCCCTAGACCGTCATCCAATGGACAGTCAACCCGGTGGAGAGCGCCGGGCATCCGCTTTCGCCCTCTCACTTTGGTGAGAAACACCTCCGCCACGTGAAGGCAGTGAGTAGGACTTCCTCAGGAGAGGCTATGTAAGACGCCCGGTCATATGGGAGCATTTCAAGAGGTGTGCGGAGGGGTGGCCAACCCGCAGCGCAAGGCACCCACCCCCGACCATCCTGAGGCTTTGGAGACGATTATATTGCAGCAAGTCAACAGAAGATTGAGTACATTGCTAGCCAAAGCCTATCCTGCAGCCAAGTTGGTTCCTATCTATCGAACAGCATGCTCCTTGATGCAGTCAAAAGTCGACAGATACTCTCCTCATGTAAACTGTGTATACAAATTTACGTGTATCTGCGGGGGCAGTTACATTGGGAGAAAAGGAAGAAGGGCACACCTCAGATTTTCTGAACATGTACCGATAAGCCTACGTCCCGAGGAGACAAACGCTCACAGTTGTATAATTGTCAGACCTCTCTGTGATACGGGTCATGAGGTGGAAATCGCAAAATCCTTTAAAATTATCAACAAGCAAAAAAGCTCAGTATTCCTCAAGTTTGCCAAGGCAATTTCCATCTGTGTTCAGAGAGAAGCAGTTATCAGCCTTTTCTCACCCTGGTAACTGCATCTCTTTATTGTTGTTTTCGCTCGATTACATAATCTTTGGCTTTAACCTCACCTCCCTTTGATATAGTGTAATTTCGCTTCTCTTTTTCTATATGATTTCAGTTAGACTCAGTACACTATCACCTAATTTATTAGTCACCATTCATTTTACACACCTGTTGTTTCTATTACGCAACTCGTCTGCCGTTGTATGCATACAGTAACTTTGTTTAAACTAGAACTTCCTGTGTAAAAAGTATGTAAGCGTAATTTCCTGAGCACTGTTGACTGAGTTTGAAATCTCCTGTCAACTGACATCATGTGAAATTTCAAGTACGTTAAAAAAAATTTGTACATAACTTTATAATTGACTTGGGCTGTAAGGAGCTGACAAAAAGACGACGGAATAAGTGAGGGTATCATATAATTCTGCAAAAACTGATGTTCTTGCTTTATTCAAATTTCCAGTTTTAGGCAGTTGTAGACGTTTGAGGTGAAAGAGAAGAAGCAATAGGTGTACCAACTGAAGATATGTGTGCTAATGGTAATAAACATTAAAAATTACAACCATTTAAAGCTACTGAGCGAGTTTTAAGGCAAATAAATGTTGAAGATATGTACAGTACCTGAATTCCCTTAGAAATATCGCCAATAACAACAGCCAAGTCAAGATCTTTTGACATATATTCATCAATCAGGTAGTTCTGTCTTGCACGCTTAATAATCTGGAGGAACATTACTTGGAACAGCAAGTACCTTATCGTCAATATCAGTTATATTTAGGACATAAGTGACCTCAAAGTTGAAATAATCTGCCAGCACCCGACGGATGACATCAAATACAATATAGGTTCTGAAATTTATGCAAAAATGAAACAACCGTTAAATTCCAAACCTCGCATGACCCAAGTGGGATACGTCATATACTGTTGGACCGCATGTGTACCACTTAACATGCTTCCCACTAAGCGGGACGAAGCGCTCCTAATAAAGCCGTATTAAAAAATAAAGGAACAGAACTCACTTTTTTTGACGTTAGGCTATTATAAAAATAAAGATTCGGTAGAACCACATCCTTAACGTTTTGTACAGGAGTGGACCACTTCGGTTGGACACGCTTCTCCATGCTATTTGCTGTAAAGTCTAGAAAAATGAACTGATTGGAATCTACTTAAAAATCGAGGGTTGACCAGGGCACTCCCCTGTATACACAACTTTTCAAATGTGCATCTGTGCCTGGTAGCACAATACATAAACGTGGTAACTCAAAGAAAGAATCGCCCTCGTCTTTCAATATCCAATATAATGACCAAAGAAAATATCTGCTGTATACCCTCCATTTTGAGAAAAATATATTCCTAAGAATTCTGACTTTCGTTATTTGCGGAGATTGATGTTATCAAGTATGCTAGATAGTGCAAACATAGAAAACTGGTAATCTTCCCAGTCGCTCATCTTTGTTTTGTATTAAGTCTTTTAATATATTGTGTCTTCTTTTTTCCCTTTCTCGATGGTAAGTATGTGCTTTCCGGCAATATTTGGCGTATATGCGGTTAGGCTGTATGAGCTTAAAGTCCCGTTAATTACCACTTTTAAATGCTTAGGAATGCGTCCATATCTTCAATAGATTCCAGTGCAACCTGATCAATAGTTTTACCTCTCTTTGGTACAACATATGGTTGGAATCCTGTTCGATTAGTTGTGTGGGCAAACGTATTTTGTTTGTCTTGAGTGGCTGGCTTCACTAATCATCGTCTTACTTGCCGCCTTTACGTGCAGAGCACGGATTACTTACATCCCAGAATATTTTTATGAATAACAATTAGTTTATATCCAGGATACAGACGAGTTCCATACTTCATTCATTCACTTTTCATAAAAAAGAGTGCTGAAAGCGCTAGCTGAATCTAGAGGGAGGGCATGCGGCCTTCGATGGCTTGATTCTGAAACTGCATTAAATATTACTGCATAGCTGTTGGTTTTGATACTACGACAGGTCCTTTCCAAAGTAATAGTTAACTTCATACAGAATACTGCCTCTGTATACATATCTTCTTTTCCATTCATTGACCGCTAATTGAATCCTCAGAAAGACTGATGGTTGTCCTTCGGGTGAGCTGATTTTCTTCTGAGGAGGTATTGAGGACTCTGGAGAGTTGTTAGAGTTTATCTGAGTAGTACCAGCCCCCCCCCTATCTCTGCGCCGGTCTGCTTTTCCACAAGAATACATGTTAATTGCAAAAGATACTCTCTTATGTGTAACAACTTAAAAATTCTGTTACATACACAAAGATCAAAGTCATCACGAACTTGCTATTCAGTAACCAGTGTCAAACGCGTTTAGCATATAGTCGTTACCAACAAATGGACATTTTGAGCTGAGGTAGCACATGTGGTTTAGGAGCTGACTAGTGTGTTGGTTATGTTTTTATTTGAGACAAACAAGTAAACTAGCCCAAGAATCTTTGACCGACGCAAGTGAGTGGGCCACCAAGAAACTTCCAAACTGTTGTTCAATTTTAGATCTACAGGCATAGCACTTGAATTCCAGTGCTAGTTTGTTTTTGACGTCACGTGTTTTTCGCTGTTGTCGTGGACTTTTAATATTACTTGAGACTTCTGATTGTTGCCAAAAACCGGTACTTATACCTAGTGATATTGATGTACTGACCTCAGGCATTTTCATAGGTTGTAACTCTAAAGACCATATTAAATTAGCATCTAGAGGTGATTCTGCATATGCGTGACTGCCTAGAGTGTTCACTAAGACATCCTTAACGCCGTCTGCAGGCGTCAGGGGACAGAGGCGCATTGGGATAGGCCAGCTATCACGGAGACCCGTCATTTAGATGGTTTCAAACTAAAAATATCGACAGAAAAGTCTGTCAGATGCTGAACAGCCCATGACTTGCTCATGCCTACACTGAAAACGTTAACTTCCCAAAAACATAAAAACTAATGACTGGACCATGGCAAGCACGTTGGACTGCACTTCGACGTACTACCCTTGAAGATTTGTAGGACTTACAACAGTACGCCCATAACCCTTCTCAGGTTGACGCCCTTAAGTTTGAAAATCGTCGTAGATTTCATTTGCTGACCTTCTTCTATCATCTATATCCCCAAATTTGAATGGTAACACGCTCATGTCATTGTGTCGTAGAATATAGATGACTAACAAACATACGACAAATCTGACCAATCAAGCTTGGGTACAGAGTAATTTACACCAAAGATAATAACATTCAAATGGCAACTTGAAACTTGAAATGATTTTATTAGTGCAAGACAGTTTAACAATTACTCTCTCGTACACAGTTGGCTTATCCTCATTAAACTGACCAATGTTTTTCGTCATTTCAAACGGACTCATACTAGCATAATCATTGCATAAGACACGTGAGTTCATGGACGTCTCTGTCATTGTGGATGACAACACCGATGACGACTGACTGATACCAGTTGATGAACTTAGCGGTGCATCAGAAGCTGTTGTTCAGCCTTTAGAAGGTTGTCTAACTGCGAGATTACCACCACTGCCGTCTTTTACTATTAGCTCCAGTTTAGCATTAGCATCTGATGATAGGTGGGGTACACGCTGATCATTTACACTGACGGTCTCACGAGTATCCACACCTTCTACCACTGCTTCTGCTCTTAAATCTACTTCACGTTCAAGTTGTGCAGAAATTTTATTCAACTCAGTAGTAGGCATTCCGCTCATCTCATCATGATCAACCAAAGACAAATGTGCACTATCATGACCACTGTCACAAGTATCAACTTTACCTCCATTTGTATGATCAACTTCACCATTTGTGAACTCTTTAATAACAACTGTCAGCCACGTCTCATAAACCGTTAATGCCCAGCTCTTGCTACGCTCGGGCCCACGCTGTTCCTTGACGTTTCAGAAACGCTTAGTTATAACGGACGAAAATACCAAAACACCGATTGGCCGCTTGAGAATTCTTTATTGTTACACCAACATATAAAAATAATAATTGAATTAAGGTCTGTGAACAAATATTACAATAATAAATCATAAGATTACTTCTGATGGTTTGCTACTGACTTCTTTCTGAACAGCGACCGATGAGACGATGACTGTCGTATTGATGCCTCCGCGAAAATTGGGGAAGTTGGTTTGAGCAAACAACCAAGAGTTGATCGTTCAATCTTCAACTCCATTGACAACAACAGTAGATAATTTGAGTTCTTCCTCATAAATCCTTAAAGGTTTTATACATTTACTCTGACTAGTAATACCGTGAAAACTTGTGGAGTCAGAACTGGACTCCGAAAGTGTGACTCTCTTTTCCTGCACAAACTGTGGTGTCGTTTGTGACACTCTATTCGACAATGGCTTACTGGTTGCAACTACAGGCTTCTTCACTGCGCCATTGTCGTCACACAATCCGTAGTCAAACGTTGATTTCACATTTAGCTTATCACTAAACTTGGTTACTTCTTCACAGTCCACCGTTTTATGAACCTCTTGCAAACGTGTAAAACAAGACCGTGTTTGTCTCGCAACTTTTAGCCTATCTGTTGGCGATGCCCCACGAAAGCTGTTACACTCATTGAGTTTATATGGATTACTAGACGCCATAAAGCTTTCTCGATATCCACTCCTCTGAGACCCTTTCGTCATAAATGATTGCGTTTTGCTCTCAGACTGCTAAATTCTAGGGGTGGGATGCAATATACTGGCAAACTTGCTCATAGATTGATTGATACTATCTTTAGCAGTTTCAGAATATCATTGGACTTTGGCTCAATACCTTCATCCTCCATACGAGAGCTTATTTTCACCCACTTCCTTTGCAGTCGAGTAGGTAGGCGTCTCGCTATTGCCTCTAGGACGGAACTTGAGTTCAGATCACTCATGCAATTCATCGAAATCAACGTATTGTTGTAGGTCATCAGGTTATCCAAAAACTCAGAGAGTGCCTTGAAGTCATCTTGTAATTGACTACTGTTACCTTTAACAACCTCGAATACGTTCCTTACAATCATAGAAGGTCTTCCGAATCTTTGACGTAGTATACTCATAGCCTCAGAGTATCCTTCGTTAGGGGGAATGAACTTACATGACTGTATGGCTCTTGCAGCAACACCCTTGCAATACCTCATCAAATACATCAACTTCTTTCATCGTTCAATAAAATACCACTCAACATGATCTCAAACGCTTTGATAAACTTTGGATAGTCGGTTGGGTTTCCGTCGAAACACCGAGGTTCAAATTTAGGCCTGTTATCCTTAGACTACGAAACATGAACAACAGACTCATCATGCTGAGCATCATGCATATCATTACAATTAACAAGCAACTCAGCATCACTTACTTTCCTGCTTGCTTCCAAGACGCCTCGTCCCTCCTTTGACCCAGGCATCATTCAACTTGACCAAAAGTTCCAGATAACGCTTGTTCAAAGAAGACTTGGCAGGCACCAGGAAAGAGGGAAGGAGACTACCAAACTGTCAGATACTGTGAATCAAGTCTTATAAACCGTTAATGCCCAGCTCTTGCTACACCGGGCCTCACGCTGTCTCTCGAAGATTTTCAGAAACGCTTAGTATGAACCGACGCAAAAACCAAAACACCGTTTGACGACTCAAGAATTCTTTATTCTAACAACAACATATAACCAGCAATGCTGGCATTACAGACTAAGGTTTAAGAAAAAATATTACAACAATAAATCACGTTATTACTTCTGACAGTTTTTTGATCTTCTTTCTGAACTGAGACCGATGAAACGATCATTGGTGGATTGATGCCTCCGCGAAAATTATGGGGAAGTTGGGTTTGAGCAAACAACCATGAATTGATCGTTCAATCTTCGACTACATTGACACCATCTTCATATTCTTTGGGGAAAACTCAGCTAATAAAATAAATACTTCACTTCCATGGTTCGTTTATGCCTTATTTGTATGTTGTGGAATAGCTGTAACATCGAGATTGCTACGATCCTCCAGCAGTCTTCTGATAATCTGTACGAACAATGCAGTCACTTTGTTTCCATCTTAACTGCTACTGTGTCGCTCGGCATTATTCTAGAAAATCACCCGGCAAAATGAGATATTATGCCTTCAAAATGCTTTCTTTTAATCCACTGTTGATTACTGCATGTACCACGATCAGTACTAGTCAGGCGATTTTACGACAAAATCAAAAAGAAAATGGTACTCTTTATTACGTTTTTCGAAACAGCATTAACCAAATCAAGTGGCTCTCCATATTTTGATTTGATACTAGTAACTACTGTGATGTGTCTAGTCCT